TCAGTTTGAGTATCCAGACTCAGATGATGTTGAGTCTGGTAAAGGCAACAATATAAAATGGATTAATAAATGAGGCAGAGAGAGAAAGAATGGTGTGAGTCCTCTTTTTCTTTTTTTTTTTTTTTTTCTTTTAGAATTATAGATATTTCTATTTTAAAAAGGGGAATTCTGCTTCCAAAGTGATTCATTTATTTCAAAACACATAAATATTAATTTATGAATAGTGTGTTAAAGTAAAGCCAGGCAAGTCAGAAGGGTAATTTCAAAACAATAATAATAATAGTATTGTGCTTTTAAGAGCAGTTAAACCTCTGGTATTGAATATGCATCAAAACACTACAGAAAAGTACTTGAGCTTCTGTTTCATTGGACAATGAACTATATTGCTTCTTGAGTTGTAAAATTTCTGCTGTTTTCAATGCCTATGCATTGGAGGCGGACTGATTTATGTAAGAATAAAGAGAAGTAATTTGTTTCTTTGGGGATACAATTAACACTAAATATCTAAAATTATTTGTTGCAATCAGTGTACAAATGACATAATTCAGTTCCATAAAACTGCAGTATTAACATGATACCAAATATTTCAGTTTACTCAAAGGTTCGGTTGCATGAAGGATGAATATTTTTTTTGCCAAAGGTAAGACAGAAAATGTTACTGGAATCAAATGAACTATTTTCTGGTAATTACTTCTGCATAAGTCAAATGGAGTGGACTAAATAAGTAAAATTTATTTCAGTTTTATGAACTTAAGTAGATCAGTCCTCCCCCTGCATTATTGCTCAATTCTAAAATTAATTTTAAACTGCTCAATTTTAAAACCTGTAAAATGTTTTTAGTGCTTCACAAAATATTTTCAAGATTTCATTGTTGCTCTTGCAGCTAAACCAGTGATGAGACTATGTTTGAAAATTGATATCACAAAAAATAGGGATAGGTGACTTTTTTTACTAAATGGTCGCTTTATATATTTTTGTGTTTTCTTTGCTTTTCCCACCTTTGAATCTACTCATTAAAAGAATGAAAAAGATATTGATTAAACAGTGTACCATACTGTATGCAAGATTTGGTAGGTTTGACATTAATCCGGTCAGGTTTGTAGAGAAACATATTTATGCAGACTATTGCATGAGTAGAGGGAATTAAGGCAAGATGCTTCCTAAACCTGAATTTACTTGTTTTGATTCATAGTTATATTTATCTTAATGTGGTTACCTGGATTGCTGAGCAGCCAAGACTTTGAATCATAGGAGACTTAAGAAAGTAGAAAAATTTACAGATTCCAAAGTTGCTCTTTGTGGTTTTAGTGTCAAAGATTAAGGTAGGTAGATAAGGATGTGTCGCTTTATTTAGCCTTTAAACGCAGATTAGTAATCTGTTATTTCCAGGGACTATGGGGAGGGTTTAACAGATTACTGAAGAAAGTCATGGGGGTTTGGATAAATGCCGCTGACTGTACAGTAGAATATATATATAATTTTTTATAAATGACAGAATGCTACTAATCATTTTTCTTAGGCAAACCTTGTTTTTGTCACCCTGCAGCTGAAAGATGTATTATTTGAATTTTAGTATTTTTAAATATTTACTGTTACATACCATTTACAACTAAGTGTAGGCTACAATTAATGGAAACATATATAATATACTAGTATTCAAGGCTTGATAAATTAATTTCAGAGCATGTATTAAGAAAAGAAAGAAATGTTTATGTTTGCAGTGCAAATTAAAATCCAAGTCCCTCTCAAACATGCATACCATGAAATTTCATTGTAGTCAATGTAGTGTTTGACAGTGCAGAACCAGGCTGATTACTGAAATATAATTACCTTTGTGGAGGAATTTGGTTGCAGGGGGAAGTCTGTCCTAAGACTGTGCCATAATACTTCAGTAGTATTAAAGTAGGGCATTTAAAGGCTATTCGTGAGCAATTATTTCTAAATGCACTTGAAACTGTAATTGAATAAAAAATGGCTGCACTACACTATGTTGAGAAAACTTTGCCATTTTATAACATTTAATTATCAAATTTTGCATTTCAGTATTCTAGCATTTTAAAAGTTCTCATTTTCAAAGTAATATACATTTTATAGTGCTAAAAGAATTGTTCTATTGCTACAATAATAGCTTCAGAAGATAACCTTCCCTGAAAGTTAAGCATCTATGGCAATATTGTTGTTCAGATTGCATTTCAGTAACCAGAAAAGTTCTTGTTGTTTTCAGCTTTTTAATTAAATTAAGATTTTTCTCATAAGATAATGAATTATACCTTGTGACCCAAAATGTAAAGTGTAGACTTTGAATCATTCCCTCATTCAAATATGAAGTATTTTAAAAACTTGTCAGCTTTTTTACCACGCAAGTAGACAATTGATGGTATAAGCCATTACTTTATTGAGAACCATTAGCTATTTAAAACTCTGTGCATAAATTAAAGAGGAGCTAAATGGGTTTGTGGCTGTTGCCATTAGTAGCATTTTAAATTATACAGGCAATTATTGTGTTCATTTTCATTATCGTAGAGCAGTCCCTTTGCAAAACTATTGTAGTTTTCTTAGACATCACATACGAATTTTCCCTTGGAGATTAAAATTTCCAGTGATGTGTTTAATTTTGTTAAGTTGTTTCAAATAGAACAAATATTATGACAAGTAGAAGAAAATTTGTTTTACTAATATGGGAAATAAACTTGGAAAATTACTCCAATTCTTAATTCATCTATTTCTAATATTTTCATAGTTATTCTAGTTACTATTTTCCAAAGAAAATAAATAGCTTTTGGAAGATGGCATATTTTACAAATGCTTTGGTAAAATCACAGTCTAGTTAAAATGAAGTTTATCCATTTTTCCAATATTCAGATGCATTTTAGAGAATGTTAGTGAGTTTCTACATGAAATTTATCTGGATAGTTCAACGGTGTTTCATTAGTTGACTGCAGAATTAAACTAATTAAGTATCTTTTAGTACATTGGAGTAACTAGTTTTTGAGAAATGGAGAATGCATTTCTATTAAAACTTACTTTCTTTGTGTGCCTTCTTTAGTAGAATTTTGCAATTGACTTCACTTACTATAGTAAAAAAAAATACTAACATTTACCATGGCCAACAGTATGATCTATATTAAAAAGAATCGCATTATTAGTAGCAAAGCAAATGTTCTTGAGAAAAAGATTTATAGTGTGAAAAGTTTTTCAGCATCGACTTTTTATTATCATAACACCTCTCCAAACACATTTTTTTTGGGTCCCAAACTTGAATTCACATCTGTCTTCATCAATTAGAAAGGTATTAATGCTTTGAGTTAGCTACATATGAATGTGCAGTGGGCTAAATTTAATGTTTCTGTCTAAAAATGGCATTCTTTCCTAAGAAGCTCTTTATTCATTTCTGTTCTGGGGTGGGGTTTTTTATGGGGGGTGGAGAGGGGAGAGATAGGCTTTCACTACCATGATGCAGGGGAAAAAAAAGTGTGAGGTAGTAGTTATGCATATTGCAAGACAGTGATTCTTTATTTTATTACAAAAAAAGACCAACTCTAGAAGGCCAGATTAAATCATTCCTTTCACTTTTTAATGGGATTTGGATGAATAGAGTAAAATATGCACTTTGCATTCATTGATAGCATCTTTAGGTTGAGGTAATTGAGTCTTTTTTCCCTGACTGAATGAATAATGACTTCATCTGATCCTCAGCGAGGCCTGAAACTTAGGCTGCCTTTGTCAACGCAAAAAGATCTGGGCTTTGAAACATGCTCTACTTCCCTGGCTTCATTTTTCTTCATTTTAATCCAAAAACCTATTTTTCTCAATAATTCAAGCATAAACTATGTAGTAGTTGAAGCAGCGGAAATTGCAAGATATTTGTCCTCGTTGTGCTGCTTTTTAAATGCAGCTGATAAATCAGCCACTGTGGTCTTCAGCTGCCTGGTTCTCTAGGGAAGGGACAGCCCATGTGTAAGCAAGATTGCTGGAATTTTTAAGAACTATATTTAAAGTGCTTCTTTTGCAGACTGTTTGTTATCTAAGGAAGTGTTATGTTTTACTGCTCTTACTGGCAAGACTTGGAGATAAAAGGGGCATCTGTGATGGGGCCTAGGAAACTCTTCCTGACATGATTTTCCCACATATTTTACTGACTACTAGAGCATCCAAAAAAGTGGATTAAAAATACCCTAGCTTACATCATACATTATTGAAATGGTGAGAGTCTTAGTTACATAGCTTAAATATATTTTTTTCTTGAGAAACAGTGGATGAAGGACAGCTTCTCCTAATGTTTTACTTAAAATGTTTCTAAATCAAATACCTTTATATTCTTTTGAAGTTGAAGCCCTGTTTCACTATATTGGTTTGAAAATGGATATTCCCCTAGATTGTTGTTTTTACTATTATATTGGGTAAGTGAAAGCTTTTCACAGTTAAAAGTAATTTCTGTGGCATTGGTTCAGATTTACAGAGTGGGATGAGAGCACAGTGATGAGTCGCAGTGCACTTGTCACGTGAATAAGTCACAGGCTCCGTCCCATGTGCCTGTTGGTTCTTGAATCTAACCGGTATTTGATCTTCTAGCAGTCAATGAGCTCCCTACAAATGTAATACACCATACCAGTATTTTTGCTGCAAGCATGACAGAAGAAAATTGTCCCTGCTCATTTGTTTGTCTGTAATTATCTTTTCTCCTTGCCCTTCTGTGTTCCTGTCCTAGAACAAGGAATGGAGGAAGGGATGTGTCAGACTTGAAGGCATTCAAAAGGCTTGGCTGGGACAGTTCACATTGGTTCTAGGATTTGTTATTGCCACAAACCCAGGGAACATCTTTTGTGTGCAAGCATAGGAATAACAGTCAATGCAATTATCAAAGTTCAGTTCATAGTTATAAGTGCATGGATTTTTAATAGGTAGGAATAACCAAAGCAAACAATCGCTAATTGTTTGCATTGCAGAAGCATAAATTAAGAAAAACTCCTGACTAACTGGATTTCTTTTTTTTCCTTCAGGTTGGCTTGCTGGACCTGGAGCTGAATCAACTGACCAAAGCCCTGTTTTTGGCTTTAGTTGCACTATCAGTTGTTATGGTAACTTTGCAAGGATTCGTAGGCCCGTGGTATCGCAACCTTTTCCGCTTCCTCCTACTGTTTTCCTATATCATCCCAATCAGGTATGTATAAGAATGAAAGCAAAATACAGTTGCCTAATTTTACTGTCTGTGGCTTTCTTGAAATTTATACTTGCTTCTCATTGCAAAGGAAATTGATCTTATCAGGAAGCTGAAGGAGAAGGTGCCAACAAATCTGCTGATTCTTCAAGGATCACTGTACAGAAAACAATACTGTTGTATTTTTTTTGTATAATGTTCATCTTGCTGGAGTAATCAGGATATCTAATCCTTTGCTAGCATAAATGTATTAATAAGGATACAAGGTATATGAGAAAGTGGTTTCACGAACCATGCAGTTGAATGAACTGCTAGACGCATTATGGAATTTTATTTGTAATGCTTTAAATACTAAAAATGTTCCATTTCTCTGCTTAAAATACAGACATTTTACCCCAATAATAATTAATTTAAATTGGATGGCTGAATAATGTAAGTGCTCTTTTACAATGAGAGGAGTTTTAACGTGTAACCAAGTAGAGACTTACCCTGAATTAATTAATTCATTAAGCATGAGTACTGTATATTCAAATTGCAGATAAACTGGAACACGAAATAATATCCACGTGTGTAATCAAGTCTTCTGTGGACACAGAAGTGAGAACACTACCTCTGAACTGAATTATTTTCTTTGCATGGGTATTGCCTTTGCAAAATGGAAATACTGTTTCCTGTTAAAATACCCAGTGTTTAGTTTAAGGTAATTGTTAATTTTAGATCCTCTTTAGAAGTGTTCGGTTTGAGATACATCATTCAGTAAGCCCAGTGATCAGCCAGAGTTAGCAGTATCTAAACTGTAGCTAGATTTAAGACCTGTCCCCTCAGGCGTGCACACAATATTTAAGTTCATGTAGTAAAGAAAAGAAAAATAGCAGGATTTCATTAGGCCTTTTAATCTAAGCTTACATTACTTACACATTACTGTGATCACATTTTTAAAGTAGGTGTCTATGTGAAGGAAATTGTATCATATTTGACCAATGGGATACTCAAGAAGCCTCTGTCTTAACATTTTATAACTTAAGACTTTATTTTTATAGTACTTTTGTGTTGCAAGAGAAACTGATTCTGTGGGAAGTTGAAGGAGAAGGTTCTGGCAAGTATGCTGGAAACACAATTTTGGGATATCTTTCTAAACACTGTCACTGTCATAACTCCTTTACTGCTTGAATGATGCTGTTCAGTCTTGTTGCCATGCACCCCCACACACACACAGTTACTGAGTATTAAGCAATTTATCCATGTGAAGAGGCAAAAAGGCCTCCATTCAAATGGCTAAATCTACATTTTACTCAGACATGCACTTTAAAACTTCCAGGAGAGGGGAAAAAGAGCTAAGGATATAAAGGATCACTTCTAACTAAAGGATAACTTTTAACCATTTTAATATCTTTGTTACTGGATGCAAGAGGATTAAGGCCATATAGGGGTTGTAAATAAATTTTACTCTATATTGAAAGTTCAACATATGGCATTGAAAAACATTTTCACTGAGCAGCTAATTTTCAGTGTAGGTGTTCTACAGTGGACTTGTGGAATAGCTTTTCTCCAAAAATAACTTCTAGCATGCATCTAATCCAATTTACAATTGTTTGTGAGAGATAATATAAAAACTAAAAGTATTAGAGAATAAGGTTGGTTTAGTTCATCAGACAGGAATTTATCACAGAATGCTTTCCTCCCTAGAGATTTATCTGTTTCTCTACCAAATTTTCTTCAACCCGAATCTTCATAAATACAGGGTTGCTTCCCACACTGTCAGCAAGATGAACAACTCAATCATGCTGGTGTTGAGACTTGACTGCACTTCCCTTCCTCTCTTCTCTATGTTAAGCATGGGAATGACTTAATTTTTAGGCTGTATTTTGAGTGTAAACTCTCAAAGATGTAAATTACAAAGCAAATGGCATCGAAGCACCAGGTGTTGTATCCTCCCATTATTTTTAAAATAGCTATGTGGGGGAAATAATGAACTTAAAGATGTAAATGAAATGTCAGAGGTTACGGTTCACTGGTAGAGGCAAAGCATATCTGGATTCAGGCACACATGAAATGTGTCGCTTGATACTTTTAGAGAATTCAGGAGGTTTCTAATTGTGGAGCTTTTTTGGTTTGCAGAGCAAGGGAACTTCCAGGTATGCAATAAAAATAGTTTTTCATGGCTAGACGTGTTTGGTGAAGATCATCAGGAAGATGATGATAGAGTTAATAGAGTTTAAGTGATCTCTGTGCAGCCTCATCTATAATTAGTAGGAAGAGGAACTTTTCAGATGCTTCAGAAAGAAGCTGGTTCCTTGTGTTTCAGCTGCATCACAAATACTCATCTATATCAGTGTTGCTTCACTTTGTGCAGGGTATTACTGTAGGGTATGCAAGACTTCAGAAGTATAAACATAAAACAACTGTAAAAAAAACCCAACAGCACAACAAAATAAAAACCACCCTGATAAGCAACACTTACCCAACCCTCACCTTCAAAAAATCAGCCTCCAACATTGCACACATTCTGTTGTGTACAAGGAATCACGAAAAATGGAGAAAAAGTAGTAATAAGCAGATATCAAAAGCTTAGTCCATCTCTAAACTTTTTAAGTTAGAATCATTATGCATAAAATGTTTTGAACAGCCCCACATCCCCAGAAACTTTTGGTCCTTGAAAGTGTTTATGTCATTGATGTTTTCTTTTGCCATATGCAGAAACCATAGCGCAGGGAGCCTCCATAGGCAATCTGCTGCCCTAAAAAGTCAAGCTATTTTAATTTCTTAAGATTTATCAGGGAAAGAGGATATAAAGCAAGTCCTTGACAGACTGTTCAAAACAAAGTAAATCTCTCTATGATTATCTTCATCCATTATGAGTTTTGCCATGTTCCTTAGCATTTTTAGGCATTTTTCTAGCTGGCTCTAGCCAACTAGACTGTATCACCTAGTGCAATTGTCACATAACAAGCTAGCAGTGAGCGTGTGTCCTCAGGTATGTCCATGATGCTGCTTTTTGTGATACCAGTTTGGAAGTTCTTAAGTCTGTGATGTCGCCTTTGCTTTTTTAATAAGGTGCTTTTGTTGAACAACTTGTATTTTTTGGATTGTCTGTTTTCTGAATGACAAGGGTCAGAGGACAATAACAGTCATGCTAATGAAAAGCCATCAGCCTGGGTGGGGGGAAATTTTTGAATTTTAAGTGCAAGAGAATAGAAGAGGTTTTAATCAATATGGGGTGCAAGACACCAACTACTACTGAGATGAAAATTCCAATGTTTATGTGTATGGGTGTAGGAAAGGTGTTAAGGCTGTTAGAGAGCCTTGCCACAAAATGATTCTGTTCTTTTCCCTGGTCTTGAGTACTAACATGTCTTTATCAACTCACTTGAGCTATCATAGCAAATGGTTCAGAAAGCCCAGGCTTAGAAAGAAAAGACTTAGTGATGGCACTGCCCCACAAACTGGATCCCCTCCATCACCAGTGGACTTTGTTAATTCATTGTTCTGTCTTCTTCACCACCTTGAAAGACAAAGTGAGTTGCACTTTGTGTTGAGGTCTTCTGTATGTTTGGGTTTTGTTTAAAAAAATAAATAATAACTAAATAATGTAGCCAGGAAAGTTTTCCAAGATAATTAGCCAAACAGTGTTTGGTGAAATTGCTGCCTCATGTACAGATGTGTGAGTCCTGTAGCTATATGTGCTTCTGCTTAGTTATTAAGAACTGTAGAGGATTTACCATAAAATTATAAGAATATTGACTGGGGATCTGTTAAAAATGTGTATCACCCAAGCTCTACATTTAGTAGCAGTTTAAAGCTGGATTAACAGGGGCTTAATCAGCCATCATTTTAGAAGGATCCTTTAGTTTTAGTGTGAACAGAAGCTGAAATGTCTCTTGTCCTTTCCTTTGTACACCCCAAGGCTCCTTGTCACTGAGCTGTTCTGCCAAAAGAAGCTGTCCCAAATGACTGGAACTGCCTTGCACTTAAGTCATAAAGTTTTGGGGCACTACATGGTTCCTGGCTGGGTTTTTTTTGGGGTCTCTAAGAGACCCCAAAATTAAATCAAATCCTTCAGATTATGTCAGTCTGTTCTCAGGGGCAGTGAGAAAAACACTGCTAGGAGGTCTTGAAATTCATTAATAGCCTCTCCAATCCCAGATCATACAGATATGAATTTCTGTGTTTCCTTGAGATCCAGGGAACTCACGCCTATGCAGACTGTCTAATAGCAGCAAGCAGCCATGCTGCTTTCAATCATGGTGTAGTTTCTGCTGTATTGGAGATTATCTGTATAATCTGTAGATGTGAGAGTATCAGTACGTGAAGTCTCACACAGAGAGACAGAATATATATTAGATATATGATGCAAAGGTTTCAGTGTGGAAGAGCTAAGGAGCTGCTTATGAAGTGGCTTAAGCAAGTGGTTTAATACACATTTAGTGTATTGTGCTTTAATACCATATAATGATATATAATGCAATCTCTGTAGAGACTGAAAAACATTATGTGATGATTCATGACATTTTACTAATTAATTTTGCAACAGAAGTTAAGGTATGTCTCTCTTGTGCTAGGGCTACCTTACACAGTCCAGTGTGGTGCTGTACTACTGCCTGGGCTAGCTTTTTGCTTCTCCTAAAATGTCTGATATTCATGCTACACAGAAAAAACATAGAATCAAAAAGTTATTTAGATTAGAGGAGACTTATAAGATCATCAAGTCCAACTCTTAACCCAGGATTGCCAAGTCCACCACTAAAACATTTCCCTAAGTGCTAGTCAGATCAATGGGTCTTTTGAAATACTTCCAGCGAGCTAGACTCTACCGCTTCCCTAGACAGCTAGTTCTAATGCTTGGCAACAGTTCTGGTGAGGAAATTTTTCCTAATATCCAATCCAGAGTTCCCCTGGTGTGACTGGATGCTGTTTCCTTTTGAGACCGACTCCCACCTGGCTACAGCCTCCTTCCAGACAGTTGTAGAGAGTGATAAGGTCACCCTAAGCCTCCTTTGCTCCAG